CAGTGTATTATTTGTTGAAACTGTACTTCCGATTTGATTTGAAACTGTCTCATTGCTATATGTTTATCAATAAAACTGTAGAAAAGAAAAAAACTGCATTCACCTATAAAATACTATTTACTAGAATTTTTATATTGTATCTGTAAGTGTCTACAAAATTTTATGTATTTATACAATACTAATCAGACCCCCACGGGGGCTGACCAGATAGCTCAGTGGAGTAAAGTGCCTACTTAGGTAGACGCAGGGGCCGGGGTTCGATCCCTAACCTGCCTCGCTGGTCCTGCCCCCAGAGCGTGCTGAGAGGGCGATTGAGACTGGTCGTGGTGGCGTGCGCCTATAATCCAGTGCTTGGGAGGCTAAAAATAGGAGAGTCACTACAAGTCTGATCTGTGTAGTGAGACCCTGTAGACCATGTACTAAATACATAAAAAGAAAAAAAATCAGACCCCCCCAAGTTTGAGTGACATCAGTGAAAATAAGCAATCTGGAGAAAATCAAAATAAAATGGCAGATTTTATCCAACTTAAGTCAAATACTTAATAGCATAGTCTTTTAAGTCTATTTACAGCCAAATTTTAGAATAACTATAATACCTAATATTTTATTAAATAAATCAAAATTAAAATATATACATGTTCTGTTCATACAATTTTCTCTGTGGCTCTGTTAGTATATCATCATTTTTAAGTGAGGAAACTGTTTAAAGAAGCAAAGTGAGGGCTGGGGAGATGGCTCAGTGGTCTAAGCGCCTGCCTGGCAAACACAAGGACATGGGTTTAATTCCTGGTATTACATGCCGTGCCGGCCACATGCCAGGCCGGCTACCAAGACTGGACATGGTCGTGCACACCAATGATTCCATCACTGGGGAGGCTAAGACAGGATGATCAGTGTGAGTCCAAGCTGCCTAGCAGGACCCTCTACCAATAAAGGATTGAAGAAAAAAAGAAAGAATAGTAGTGAAGCGACTCAGCCTAGATTGCTCTGTAGTTGGTGAGGGTTTCTAAGCAAACCTTACTTACCTAGCTGTAAAAATGTTAATCTTTTTTTTTCTCACAGTAAAAATTATCAAGAAGTCAGGGGGCAGATAACACTAGGCATTTAGAGTTCCTGGCTTATCCTTCCTGTTTGGTAGTAGACGTATATGGATTTATACCTTTTTTTCTTTTATAATAGTGGGCATTAAACATTGGGTCTTCATACCGAGTTACACCTTCAGCCCTTCTTTAAAATTTTGATTGATTTTTTTTGACTGATGATTGATTGATTTAAATTTTGAGACAAGATCTTGCTGTGTGACTACATTTCCTAGACTAGACTCAAACTTCAAGCCTCATTATTGAACTCTCAAAGTACACATTGTGGTTATACCATTTTATTTTACTTTGCAAAATTCAAGAACCTCCAATACAGTGGTGACAAACCTCTTAGAAGCTCTCAATGATAACAAACGCCTGGCTGCAGCACACCAGCCATAGGTGCGCCACCATTGCTCTATTAGTTTATCTTTCAAAATTTTCCTTACAGAGACATCAAGCTGTGTGTTTGGTCTATGCACGTTTTAGGGGCTGCAGGTGCTTCTTGGACAGAGATTTGTTTTCTTAATCACACAACGACATAACAGGATGAATAGGAAGTGAATAAAATACTTCAAATTTTAAAAACCTGTGGTTACTCAGCCAATACTGGCATATGGCTAAGAAGTAAGAAAAAATAGTATGTATTTTTTAAGTAGAATATCACAGTCCTATGAAATGAAAGTATTTTGATATTAAGTGATGTTAAGAAATTTTTGGATTATGGAGAATAATTTCAGAATAAATGCAATCATTCATTTGTGTTCATTCAGTTTTTGTTGTGTCATCCTACTGTTTTCCACAAACGGTCAATGCCAAGGATGCAAAATAGAATTTCCTTTGTGTAATAAACTCCTAGCAAAAGAACTGAAAGATATAAAACAAAGACTCTTCATGTGGAGGAGTTCGTTGTCTTTCAAGTAGCCCTTTGCTTCCCTCAAACAGCTGTTTGAGGTGTAACTGCTTTATTTCCATATCTTCGGAGTGTCAGAATTTTGTTTAGGAAACTCATCATATTTGGGCTTCTGATATGCGAAGTGCTGGAAAAAACAAAACATAAATTTGAAATGAAAGAGTAATGTTTTATATTATGTTCATTACATATAAATTAGACGACAAAAGCCCAAAGAACACTGCTGAATGCATATCTAGAACAATCTTATGCTGGAATTGTGTTATACTATCAAACACTGAAGAAATTAATTCATATGAATTTTGTCTGATGTGCTACCAATCTCTAATAGTTCATCCTGGAAAACTGTTGACTTGAGTTTAACGTTTATATTCTTGTCTCATAATAAGTGTGTTACAAAGATTTAACTAGCAGGTAGTGGGTAGTCTAGTTAAATTAAATGCTATGTTTTAGTGATGTATCCAAAGTATAATTTGTTTCTATATCCTAAGCTACAGTTTGTGGTATTAGAATTATTATGTAGGAGCCAGGGAGATGGCTCAGTAGAATAAGCGCTTGCCTGGCAAGCACAAGGGCCTGAGCTCAATCCCTGGTTCCGCCAAAAAAAACCAAACAAGAAATATTATAAAATAATAGATTATGATCACATTGAATTAAAATGGGAATAATTAAGTTTATTTTGTTAATTTATAGAACTTGATATTGCAGTTATTAAAAGTAAACATTGTCTTAAGAATCAGATACATGATTAATATGATACTCTTTTTTCCTTTAGATTTTAGAACAGCGAGCCAAAATTCGAATTCTTCACTTTACTGCAGCTGCATATTATCACCTGTCTGCTCTTAAAGTTCAAAGAGCATATCGGCTTCACATGGCTATGAAGAATGCAAAGAGGCACATTAATTCAGTCATCTGTATTCAGGTTAGCTTCTCTGCAGTAAAACAATAAGATGTAAATTTTCTGTTGCAGATTTTTTTGGTATATGATAAATACTTTCTAGATACTTTATGTTAAAGTCACATATTTAGACTTTCAGGGTGATTTGAGGGTCAAAAATAGGTTGATATTTTATGTTACACAAATAAATGTGTGAATTACTCTCATTTACCCCTTTACTAGTTAAATCTGAGAGTACCCGTTTCTCAATGACCTTGCCACTATAGGACGTCATAAAAGATTCTGATTTTTGCCATTCTGACAAATTTTTATTTTATTTGATTGCTAGCAATTCTTAATTTTTTATATTAGTTATTCAGACTCTTTCCTATATATTTTATAGTTTTTAAATGTTTTTGATATACCTGGCCCATTTTTCTTCTGGATACTTTTTTATCATGATTTATAGGAATTATATTCTAGAGAAGAATCTTATTTATATACATTAATATAAAATATTAAAAAGTATTGAGGGGAAAAAAACAAATTCCAGAACGATGCACAATTTAACAGAACATAGCTATTGTAAGATAAGGGCCATGTTGCATGGAGTTCAGTACGCACCCCACCTGGACTTCCAGGAGCAGGACGCAGTGAAGCAGGAAAAGATGCCACTGGGGAGGGTTAAAAATACTTTGATATTCTGTTCTTTTTCTTTTATTTTGTATGTAAATGTATGTTTTGAAAAAACCTGAAGTAAAAATGAAAACTAAATGCTCTTTTAAACAGAGATGGTTTCGAGCAAGATTACAACGAAAGAAGTTTATTGAGCAGTATCATAATACCATAAAAACTAAACATGAAATTCAAGAATGTCTGAACAAGCAAAATAGGGCTGCTTTAGTAATACAGAAAGCAGTACGCCGCTTTCTTCTTTGCAAAAGACAAGAAAAATATAATAGTAGAATCACTAAAATTCAGGTAAGTGGAAATTATGTGCTTTTAGTTTAAGATCGCACCCTAAATTGAACTTTTAGTTGAAATATATCTGATCGTGTCATATAAATACACTGAAAATATTTATATTATAGAAATAGATGCAAATATAAGTTCAAAACATTAGTGTCTATAATCTTAAATTACTCTATGAAGGCATTATGGAGAGGCTACATTTGGAGAAAGAAAAATGATTGTACAAAAATCAAAGCTATACGGCTAAGCCTTCAACTTGCTAATAAGGAGATTCGAGAAGAAAACAAGCTGTACAAGAGAACTGCACTTGCGCTTCATGATCTTCTGACATATAAGCACCTTTCTGCCATTCTGGAGGCTCTAAAGCATCTAGGTTAGTTTGTTCTATTTTTGTTTAAGATTAGGAATGCGTCTTTGCCTTCAATATGTGAAGAATATTACAGTATTAAGTTAGCTTCACTCTGTTGCTGTGAATTTAATTAGTCTCTTACTCCCCTTTAGATGTAGTCACCAGACTGTCTCCACTTTGTTGTGAGAACATGGCGGAGAGTGGAGCGATTTCTAAAATATTTGTTTTGATCCGAAGTTGTAATCGTAGTATTCCTTGTATGGAAGTCATCAGATATGCTGTTCAAGTCTTGCTTAACGTTGCTAAGGTAATTGTTTTATTTTAATAATAAAACATTTATTGTTCAAGAACCATGATCCTGTAAATTAAATTTGTGCTTGCTCATCACTATAATTTGGACTTAATAGTTTAAAAGTCATCTATACAGGAGTCTTAATGGTGGAAAAATTAATAAAATGACTGGATAAAAATGCTAATTTTTGTGAGGTCTTATTTCTGATCCATTTATGTTACAGCAATCACTGACATTTAATAATTGCTTATTATATGCTAGTGTTTTTCATGCATTGTTTAATTCAATCTTAATAATTAGCTAAAGTAGTTCATATTACTCCTTTAGTATAGAGGGGATAATAATAATTATAAAAGTTGTGGGGCTGAGGAGATAGCTCAGTGGCATGAATGCATGCCTGGCAAGCACAGGGTCCCTAGGTTGATCTCAGGTACCGGAAAAATAATACAATAAATAAAATGAAGTTGCATGCAATCAACAGTATTAAGATGAAAGATTTACCTTCCCTACCTATGTGCTAAACCACAGTGTAGATATTTTACCTAATATTTTTATATGGAGAGGTAGTGGTTAAGAACAGAGTCTGATGCCAAACTAGCTGGAATTCTAACTCTTCAGGTTGTTACTTTCAACGTCTATAAAATTAGTAAACTTATGGTCCCATCTCAAGTTTTTTTTATAAAATTGAGTGACTAAATATATATAATGCTTGATGCTTAGACACAGTGATAAAAATGTTAGCTATTAACTGTTATTTTTAACTTAGTTTCAGTATTTGTTACCATGTAATGTGATTTAATATAATCTAATACTCCAATTAGATAAGTGAGGCATTAAAAGTATATATCCTAATCAGTGTCAAAATTGTTTTATTCTTTTTTTTTTTTAATTTTATTTATTTATTTGAGAGAGAGAGAGAGAGAGAGAGAGAGAGAGAGAGAGAGAGAGAGACCAGCTCAGCCCACCAGGGGGCGGGCTGGCTGGCATGTGGTGCTGGGGGATTGAACTGCGGTCCCTGATGCTTTTGCTAAGCTTGTTCTAAATAGGTGCTTTAGACCACTGAGCCATCTCTCCAGCCCAAAATTGTTTTATTCTTAAGCATGTAATAGAATAACTAATTTGATCATTGGCTTACCCTATGGTTATCATTTGCAGGGTTTTTTTTCCTGAGTTTTACAAAAACAATATCATCTTTAAAGGTTTGCTTTTCTTTTGTAGAGAGTAAAGATTTGATTCATTTTTATGTAGAACTTTAAAAGTAGGTAAGGTAGGAAGGTAAAAGATTATGATGCAGGTATGCATGTAAAATAGATTTAAAGGGCTGGCCAAATAGCTCAGCAGATTAAAGCACCAGTTTAGGCAGACGCAGGGGCCAGGTGTTGGATCACCAGGCCTGATCTCCAGGGCTGCTGTGCCTGCCCCGCCCCTGGGGCTTGCTGAGATGGCAATTGAGACTGGGCCTGGTGGCGCACCTGTAATCCCAGCCCTTGGTAGGCTGTACACAGGAAGAACACTATGAGTCCGATGTAGTGAGATCTGGTAGATCCTGTCCTAAATACAAAAAAAAAAAAAGAAAGAAAAAAATAGATTTAAAAATGACACTAACAACAAGGAATTTCCCAAAGCCTAGCTGCACATGTTCCAAACATTTGACTCTAAGCTTTATTTCTGGTTGGGCTGTTTCTAAAGGTGTGTGTTTACTTTAACTTAATTTTGTTGTGCTCTCTTCAAGTATGAGAAAACTACTTCTGCAGTTTATGATGTAGAAAATTGTGTGGACACGCTGCTGGAGCTGTTACAGATATACAGAGAAAAGCCTGGGGACAAAGTTGCAGACAAGGGGGGGAGCATTTTTACAAAGACCTGCTGTTTGTTGGCTGTTTTGTTGAAAACAACCACTCCAGCCTCTGTGAGTATTAACTGGTTTCCTTTGTTTGAGGTTTGGGATTCTATGACTTGTATTTTTCCTTAAACTAATTATCACACTAAAATAAGTTTTTCTTTCTATTCTAAGTTCCTTCTTGCACTGATAAAATCAGCTCAAGAGATATACAGATACATATATACATATATGTACTATATATATAGTATACAGGCACATATATGTAAAAGGTGTGCATTTCTTTCTGATACTAAAGAAACTGAATTTTGAAAATTGAATTTATTTACAGCCATTTATTTACTGTAACCATTCCCATTTCTAGAGAGAATAACAAATTATCCTAGCAAGGCAAGAAGCAAGATACATGTTTCACTGCATGTTATAATTATAAATATATTTCCAGCATTTCTATGGTGAGATTGGTCAGTTATTTCTCCAGATGTGACAGTCAACATGGGGTAATCATATTTGATAACAATGAGAAACCGCTCACAATTTTAAGAAAGGGAATGATATTTACCAATTTACGTTTTAACATCTTTCTGGCTGCTCATTGAGAAATGAATTTGGGAGAACACGTGTGCCTGTAGGGAGACTATTAGAGAAGCGAGCAGGTAAATGCAGCAGATGAGGCAGGAGCTTCTGCTTCACTGAGGTTGTGTCAGGGAGGGATAAGTAGATAACTCCAGAAACTCTGAAGAGGTAAAATTCATAAGATTTACAATACAGATACTGGATTAAATGAGTATAAAATATTTCCTTTACTATATGGAGTTAACTGTGCAACTTCTGAATATTTGTCTTTGTAATTATCTTGCAAATTAGCTCATAATTTAAATGAATCTACTCACTAAATTTAAAGAACTTTCCTCTTCTAGGAGAGACAGACATTTAATTCTTACTATCTTTTAATAATTATATGTTTTGTCTTTAGGATGCACAAAGTAGGTCCAAAGTTGTTGACCGTATTTATAGTCTGTATAAACTTATCGCACGTAAGCATAAAGTCAGTACTGAGAGAATATTTTATAAACAAAAGAAGAATCCTATAGGAACTCCCTGTGTTTCAGAAAGACCTGCAAGAACTAAAATAGTTTCAAGGTAAGCAGTTAACACATTCTATAATTTTGTGTCACCACTGATTCATTTTGTGTTTATCAGTACTAACCATTGACCATAAGATAATTGTTTTTGACAATGGAGAAACATCGTAATAGAATATTCAGTAAAATCTAAAGGAGGCAGCTTCAGAAAATAATACTATTATTGTTTTGGTTATTTAGTATTTTAATTAGTGTTTTGGGTATTTTCTTCAATAAGCTTCTTGTGTTAAACAGCGCAAATACTTGTTATAATTTTGTAATAGAATTTTTATTTTCCTAAGTAAGAACAAACTAAACCTTTAATTGTTGAGAGTCTTATTCTGGAGACCAAAGCTAAAAATCAGTGTTAATTAACTGGGCTATACTGTTAATGGAGGTTCTGCGGTGCAATCCTTCCTGGTTCCTCCAACTTCATTGTCTCTTAAGTGTCCCTCGCCTGACGGCTCTATGTCTCTATATGCCTTTGTCTTCCCTCTGTGTCTGTCATAAGGACACATGTCATTAGATTTATGGCTGCACACACAACTCAGGGCCTTATCTCAAGATCTTTTAAGTATATCCATAAGATTTCTGTTTCAAAATAAGGTGACATCCACAAGTTCAGGGATTAAGAGATGGGTAAATATTTTGGGGCTACCATTTAGTGTACTAAGTTGTATACAGATAATTCAGGTTTAACTACTGGAAGGCATATTTATGGTTTCTTTTAAACTGGATGTTTGCTTACTTATTCACCAGACTGACTTCTCTGTCACTGTCAGAGAGCAGAGGTGGTGCAGAGCTGCATCTGGCATTGTAAGGTGCCAAATTTGAGCTTATTGTTCAGCATAGACCTATATAGTTCAGGACAGTGACAATAAACAAGGAAATTCATGAAGATACTAATAAAGATTGTGAAGCTGAAGACAACTTCCAAGATAGATTGTAACACAGAGTTTCCATTGAAGGCGGATGCCTAGAAAATCATCTCTGGTATGTAGTATTTAAGCAAGTACTAAAGAATGGAAAATTTGGGCCGGGGAAATGGCTCAGTAGAATAAGCACTTGCCTGGCAAGTGCAAGGGCCTGAGTTCAATCCCCATTCCACAAAAAAAAAAAAAAAGAAAAAAGAATGGGAATATTTATTTATTTATTTATTTATTTATTTATTTTTATGAGCAGAATATATTTATTGAGAGAAAACTCCTGTCCGAGAGAGGGACAGGAGGGGAGGCCCAAGTGGGTAGTTCTCCAAGAATGGGAAATTTAAGTGACAGTTGAAAAAAAGATAGGATTGAGTGGAAGGAAGTATTGAATCATGAGTTTTATTTCAGATAAGCCTGAGGACTCTGTGGTATAAATCAGAGGAAAATACAAATAAGTTATAAACTCAGCAGAAATGCAGCTTAGAGGATAGAGAGGAAAGGATTAGAACAGTCACCTTGGAGAAAAATGGATTGTTACTAGGCAACTTCAGATGTCAATTTTAGGTATGCAATTGACATGAAAGAAAATGTCATCCTGTTTGTATTTTTCTTGAAAACTTTATCTGTATAGTAATGAAGAAAGCTATTTTTATTCATTTTGAAGATCAGGTATAATTTTCCAGTTGAGTTAGAGAAACAGTTAATGGCATTTGCAAATGGGATATACTGACTGACCTAATCCAGTTAGGGAGAGAAATGAGAACGGATGAAGGGTATGTATTGAGGTCAATTGAGTAAGGGAGCTGAGCTTGGTCAGAGACTAGATTAAAGCAGATGACATGGATGAATCAGAATTGGTGGTTGGAAAATCGAGGTCTCAGATTGAGACCTAAGTGGTGATACATTTTCTAAAGAGGAGAAACTCTGCCATATGACCGTGTGAGAAAGGATCAGCTATGGAAGAACATAAGAAAATGGCAAAAACTAACCAGCCGCCTCCTGGCTTTTGGGCCAGGTGAGTGTTGATGTTACTGAGAATGGTGACAGGCATTGAGAGAAGACCCAAAGCCAATTTCACCAGAGTAAGACATTGGGAGTTTCATTAAGGACCAAAGGTGGTGCTAGAACTAGGTGACCTTCAAATAAGCCATAGTGTGAAACTTCAAGTAGTTAGTGATATGCAGTTCTCCTACCTCTTTGACAGGGTTGTAAAAGAAAGGTGTTTTAAGAGTAGCCACATTGTGTTCAGAACATTGAGTTCCCTTCTCAGTGTTCTGAGAAGGGAAGTTAGGACCATTTAAGTTAATAGTCTTACTTGTCTCCCTAACTGGCTTAGGTCAGTCAATATATCCCATTTGCAAATGCCATAATAATAATAATATATTATATATAATAATAATATATATATGCCATTTTTTTTTAACAGACTTAAACCGGACTGGGTTTTGAGAAGAGATAATGTAGAAGTCACCAATCCCCTGCAAGCTATTCAAATGGTGATGGATACAGTTGGCATTCCTTATTAGTACATGTAAACATCGTCAGTGTGTTAGTATGAAGAAATACTGAAGTTAATCATGATCAATCAAGCATATGTTGCTTTCTGTGTAGTTTTTAAAGTTTGACTTTGTATTAAATATATATATATATATATTACAAGTAACTAAACTGTGTAGTTCTTTTTTGTTTAAGGTTAAAGAGTATATAGAAAGCATCTGGAGGGTGGTTTTTTGGTTTTGTTTTGCTTTGTTTTTGGTCAATAAAGTATATTAAGAGTTCTTAGTAATACTATTTTCTAAACATTGTATTTTTTTGTTGAGTTCCATTTTTTTTTTTGTAGGCATAAAAGACAGATAATCATTACTTTATTATCACAATATCAAATCACACTCATTACTCCAGTAGCATGTGCATCACTCTATAAATTCCATTGGTTTTTACTCTTTAACAGAATTTTAGTATAAATAAGCCCTCTATTTACTTTGGTGAACTATACTGCTAGGTTTTCATTAATGACTATAAAAAATGTTATTGGCACTATTTTCCTCTAAGATAAGAATGACCTAGTAGTTATACAAGGAATATTTAGATGAATTTAAAAACTTAAGAAAATGACTTCTAGATGTTAAAACTCGGTTTTTTTGTTGTTGTTGTTATTTTGTTGTTAAATAGCTGGCTGAAAATTTTTAGTGGACTTTTAGTCTGTATCTTTTCTCCACTGGCCCAACTGTACTAATTACTGTTGAAGTAGGCAGTAACATCAGTCTTAACCCAAAATGTGTTGGATTTGACAAGTGAAAGAATTACAAGACTGTCCTTTCTGGTTATAGCAGGACTGTATATACAGATCTAATTTGTTTGCATAGGATGAAAGTGTGACCTGCCTTGAAATTTCTTAATGTTGTCTCCTGTTAAATTTAATAAGGGTATGGTGTGTCCTGCATTGAAGCCACCCTCACTATTAGATTACTTGGAACAAATTACGCAGGTGAGCTAAAAGAAATTGTTCAGAGGTGCAAAAGAAAAAAAAATAAAAGGAATGTAATTGTGTTGCCTTTTCATTTGTTCTTCATAATACTAGATGTTGATTTTTTTACTGCACTTCATATTTAATGTGTAAATATATTCATTTAATTCAATTAGCCAGATTCTAAATTGTTTTTCCTGTTTTTGAAGTTGTTACGTAATATATTCACATACTACACGTCTTTGTGTATTTCTGTATTGACAACACACAGAGAACAGTTGTGCTAGCAAGGCATAATTTTAAGTGTTTGATATAAATGACTGCATTTTCATAATGATTTGAATTTGCATTTCTAATGCTAATCATATTGGGTATCCATTTGTGTGTATTCTGCCATTTGTTGTGTCATAACCATTGTTTTAAATGCTTTCTAAGTTGTGAGAGTTCTTTAAATATCCTGAACACAGGTCCTTTATCAGGAGTGTGACTTGCGAATACTTTCACCTAGTCTGTCATGTACTTTTCATTCTTTCAATAGAGCTTTTTGAAGAAAAGCTTTTAAATCTTGGTGAAATCCAGTTGGGACCATTTAAGTTAATTTTTTTATATGGAATAAAGTGTGGGTCTAAATACTGTTTTTCTAGTTTTTGTTTTGTATATAAATTGTCTAGATTCCAGAAGCATTTATTTAAAAAGATTATTCTTTCTCCATTGTATGTCATATGTACATTTCTCAGAATATCTATTAACCCATGTATGTATTGATTTATTTTTGGACTCTTTTTCTCATTTCAGTTTTTTTTTTTTTTTTCATCACCTTACCTCCTTGTCTTTTCTTTAATTTTCTGCCTTTTAGAATATTTTCTTTCTTTTTTTTTTTAATATCTTAGGACATGCTGTACATGGTGTACAAGGGTCTCACTGTGTAGTAGATCAGACTTGTAGTGATTCTCCTATTTACAGCCTCCCAAAACCTGGGATTACAGGCGCGTGTCACCACACCCAGTTTCAGCACGCCCTAGGGGCAGAGCTGGCTCAGCAGGCCCAGGGATTGAACCCCAGCCTCTGTGCCTGCTTACAGGCACTTTAATCCACTGAGTTATTTGGCCAGCCCTTAGAACATTTTCCTTTGAATTAAGATGACATTTTGATAATCTGGCACGATCTCATCTCAAGATCTTTAGTTACATCTGCAACAACTCAGTTTTCAAATAAGGTAACTTTCAAAGGTTCTCATGATTAGAATATGGATATCTCCTTTTTAGTTCTGTAGATCTGGTCATTGTGTTGTCTTAATGCATTTACACCCTGTAGTTATCAGATGACCTTCTTTATTTGTACTGAAATGATGCTTGATGCTAACATAGCACCTCTCTGATATTTTAATTCTGATTTTTACCATTTTAATCATTTTACTATTTTAACCATTTTCAAGTGTAGATTACTGGTATTAAGTACATTCACATCTTGGGATATTTTATTTTCTGATTAGGATTAGCATATGTATTAATGTTTTGGGGCTTCTATAAAAAAACTCTTGTACGAATTTACTGGCTTACAAAACTAGAAATTTAGTCTTTCACAATTTTTCAGCTCACTAGTCTGAAAAGAAGATACTGGCAATGGCCTTCTCCCTAGACCTCACCTCGTCAAGCTGCTAGTGGTCTTGATATTCCTTGGCTTCTGGTCCTGTCAGTCCAGTCTGTGATCACAATACCTTCTTTTGAATCGTCTGACTCAGTCTTAGAACATTTTTCAGTGAATTAGGAGAAACATCATGGTAGTCCAGCATGATTCATCTCAATATCTTTAATTTAATTACATCTTCAAAAACTCATTTTCCAAATTAGGTAACAGTCAAAGATTCTGAAGACTAGAATATGGATATTTCCTTGGGAAGCCATTATCTGACCCACTCTAGCTTGATATTTTACTTTTATCCAGTATTTTGGTATGTCTTAGTTACTTTTCTCTCATTGCTGAAACAAAATATGCGACATCCAAAGTTAAAGTGGAAAAGGTATATTTGGCTCACAGTTTGTAGAGGCCTCAGTCCATACTCAACTGGCTCCAAGGCAGGGCGGCACATTAACAGGGACAGCTGTTCATAGCGGCAAAAGACAGCAAAAGCAAGAAGAGGGTGAGAGAATTCTCTTTCTGTCCCTTATGTTGTATCTCGTCTTCCAGGCTTAGTGCTATGCCACTCCAGTCAGTGAGCTAATCCAGCCATCAACCACCCTTAATTCCAGCACCCTTAATCCTAGCATTACACTATGAATCAGTCACATACTAGATTTCAGCCAGCCCTGAAATGTGTAACCACATATTATATCCTATAGTGAACACAGTTGAAGTCTGGTACTAAAATAAACTGATAGAAAAATCTTAAAAGAGACCTAAAATGTACAAAGAAATTTAGAATAGGACAACAATAGAATTTCAGCTTAAAAGGTGAATTATCTGATAATTAAAATAGCCAATGGGAATATACTTCTCTGACACTAAAAGATTTTTATTCATCAATTTAAAAATGAAATCAAAGCATACTATACGAAACTGTTGATTTTTAAAAATGTTGTAGTGATCCTAAGGTCAATACACATCCCAAAAGTTTTGAAAGAAAAAAAAAATTAACTTGCAGAATCCACCGTCATAAATTCAAAAAATGAAAACTCTGGGGAAAGTACATACAGTGCAAAATTACAGAGCAGGTCCATTCACCTGGTTAAGTAAAGAGTTCTTAAAAGTCTGTAAGAAAGACAATCAGTTCAAAAGGAAAAGTGAAATAGAAATAATCAGTGTGATTTCACTAGAAAGAAATAGCAATATTTGTATGTATTCAGTAGCTCATATCACATCTCTGATTTACTTTTACATTCATATATCTGCAAAGTGACATGTACATTGCAGTTGTTTTAGCAATAATAAAATATTGGAAAGAATTACCCAACACAAATGAACCAAGCATTAAATGTGATTCTGGGGGCTGGTGAGATACCTCAGTGGACTAAAGTGCCTGCTTAGGCAAGTGCAGGGACCACATGCTGCGCCAGCCCTGCCCCCAGGGCAGGCTGAGCTGGCCCTAGAGTCTGGGCATAGTGGTGCACGCCTGTAATCCCAGTGCTGGGGAGACTGAAAACAGGAGGATCACTATGAGTCCGAGCTGCATAGTGAGACCCTGTAACAACCAAATGCAATTTAAAAAGATTAAATAAATAAATATGATTCTGGTGGGACACAAGAGATTTGGAGACAAAGCTTCAGTTTTTCTAGAGATCAATCACACTGTGTGGTTGTGATCAGAATGTTAATAAAAATGTGAGCATTAGAAAACATCTCATGTAAGAGAAACCATGTGATACTTAAGCTTGTATGTTCACTTTTACTTAACATGCTCTCAAGTTGAATCCATTTGCCTAAATTAATAGTTCAAATTATTTTCTTTTTGGAAGAGAAGAACTCTGTTATAAGTAAGTATGACATTTTCTTCTGTCAATGGGCATATACATCATTTCCACGACATTTCATTTATACTACTAGGTTCTTGTTCATTGAAAAGAGCACTTTATCTTTTTGTTTCTTCTTTGTAAGAGAGAATTTTTCTTTTTGTTTATGACTTAGAGAAACATTTTGGCTATTTTTTTAGGATCATAGTACATACATATTAACTATTGTTAGTCTCATAACATTTTGTTTTTTCATAGAAAAGGGTTTTTAATATTAATATATACTTGTATTACATTAACTATTGTTAGTCTTTTATAATGTTTTGTTTTTTCATAGAAGAGGTGTTTTATTTATTTTTATGTTTTCAGGGCAGGGTTTACAGGGTCTACAGGGTCTCACTGCATAGATTGGATGCGTAGTGATCCTCCTGTTTATAGCCTCCCAAATGCTGGGCTTACAGGTGCGTATCACCATGCCCAGTTTCAGTCACTGTCTCAGCGTGCCCTGGGGGTAGGGCTGGCACAGCAGGCCCAGGGATTGAACTCATGACCCCTACAAGAAGAGAGTTTTTGTATTTTTATTAATATATACTTGTATTACGTTAAAATGAAACATGATGAAGTTCAGATGGAAGTGGTATTGCAAACTATGGGGTAAGAAACAGAAGCAAAATTACAGAGAATGGAAGTACATCAGACTAAGAAGCTCTGCACAGCAAAGGAATCTAGACAAACTCAGACAAACTATGAAGTTGGTGTTATGTTTACAAACTATATATTTGACAATGTGCTAAAAGCCAAAGTATA